CAGAATCTGACTGAAGAAGTTTGAGGAGAGAATGGAAGGTGAAGAGAAGACAGCAGCTATAGTCATTCTTTCCAGAAGTTCTGCTGTGAAGGGGAGCAGAAAAACAGATGGCCATACCCTAGACTGACATTTCCAGTAACTGCTCCACTCCCAAGCAACTTACTCACCCTCTGGCCACTCCTTTCTCTTCAGCTCACTTTCTCTAGAACCTGCACTTAGCAAATCTTCAGTCTCATCAGGAACCAGAGTTCACTTAGCATCCATTACTCATGTCCTCACTTCTTTTCTTACCCTGCTTTGGCTTCACAGACCATCCCCATGATCACTGCCAATTCTGCCCTCTCTCCATCCATCATCTGGGCAAACCTCAACCTGGTTAATCTAACTCTTAGCTTATTTTATGCCTGCATCTGAGCCCAACATGGCTGAAGAAACACACAAATATACTGATATGTCTTGTTTTAAATTTATGATCATAAGTTTCAAGCGGGCCTTCAGGAATGCCCTATAATCTACATTTCCCAGGTGACTTGACTTTCCTACTCACCAAGCTGATTACTTTCTACCTTACCCTCTGTCAAGAAGCTCTGGTGGTGCAGCAGTTAAAGCATTTGGCTGCTAACCAAAAAGTTGGTGATTCAGACTCACCTGTCACTCCATCGGAGAAAGATGAGGCAGTCTGCTCCTGTAAAGATTTACAGCCTTGGAAACCCTAAGGTGTAGTTCTGCACTGCCGATAGGGCTGCTATGAGTCAGAATCAACTCAACAGCAGAAGGTTAATCTTTTATTTTTTTATTTTGTTTTACATTCAACATTACATGTACATTTAGTTTCACTCCCCATTTACCATGACCAACCCTAACCCAGTCTCCTCCCCTCCCTGCCCAGTAACCCTCTCCCCGTGACCCTCATAGTTATGCACTCCTGTGTGTCCTGCATTTCCTCTGTGTGAAAGTTGCCCCTCTGGTGCCCCATGGTTGATTGGTCCAAGGGATGTATTTCCATAGAGTTTGTCGGTACATCACCCTGGGTTGAGTGATCTGCATGTACATCTTGTTTACTATTGGGCTGAGAGCCAGCCCCTGGGAGTGAGTTTTATTCCAGGCCCAGAATGTATCCCAGGGCCATAGTATTGGGGGTCTCACCAGACTCTATCTGACCAGTAACTCTGGTGATTATTGAGTTTTTGGATTGTGTTCCACATTTTTCCTCCCACTCTATCCAGGATCTCCAGATTTGACCCTTTCCTGAGTGATTGGCATTGGTAACCAGGCACCATCTAGTTTTTCTGTTTTTGAGGGCCATCGTGTCCTAGGGCTGATTGTTTCCAAATGCCCTTTTATTTATTTATTTATTTTTTTTGCACTCTTCTTCGCTTCAATGATAGGAGATCATTAGCTGCATCTGAGATGGCTGCTTGAAAGCTTTTAAGACCCCAGTTGCCACTCAACAATGTAGGATGAGGAACAAGGCATTTATGTATTTTGTTGTTTCAGTTGAGTCTGGTGTCCCCCAGTACTATGGTCCTGAGATGGTAGATCCATTGGATCTCTCTCCCACAGTGTCTGGGTGTCGTCTGTCTTCTGTTGTTTCTGTAAGGTTTGCAGGTATTGTGTATCATTGGGATCTGTGCAAGATTAGCCTCCACTGAATCTATCCTTGGTTTAGAGTATATTCCTGTTCACCGATCCCCATCTGATCCTCTCAGAAGGTTAATCTTTTTAAGTTCACTAAAAAATACAAACAACTGAGACCACTTCATCCTCCTGCCACGTGATCTACTAACCTACTGGCATCTATGCCCACATACCATGCACCTTATTGTGAAGGCCAGTTCTTCCGTTTGTATACTAATTGAATTGTCAGTTTCCCTCTCTGTGGGATTATCATAACACAGAGACACATGCACACATCAACACAAGCAAAAGCTGCAGTATCTTCTACCCTAAAAAATATACCTTCCTAAATTTTAAATTCCCTCCAACTATTAACACATTTCCCTGTCCTCACTTGGAGCAGTTCCGGAGTGCTCTATATTTGGTTTCTCCATGTCCTCACCTCCTATTGTCTCTTGAACTTACTCCCAGCAGGCTTGCTTTCTCTCTTTCTTACTCCCAAGGGCCAGTTCTCAGTGCCCCTATTACTTGACTTCCCACAGCACCTGACCCAGTTCATCATGCTCCATGCCCTTGTCTTCTGGAATATCATACTTTTCTCATTTTCCTCCCACCTCACTAGTCAGACCTCAGGCTCCTTTTCTTCCTCTTCCTCCACACCTCTAACTACAAGGAGCTCTGGTGGTGCAGTGCCTAAGGCATTTGACTGCCAACCAAAAGGCTGGCAGTTCAAACCGACCTGTCACTCCTTGGAAGGAAGGTTGGGCAATCTACTTCTGTAGTGATACTGCCATGGAAACCCAAGGAGGGGTCGCTATGAGTCAGATCTGACTCGAAGGCAGTGAGTTGAATTTTTTTAACTACAATAGTGACCCAGCCTTTCAGTCCTGAGCTTTGCTACCTACGTTAACTTCTTAAATGGTCTCCTCTAGTCTCATGGCTCTAAGTGTCATCCATAAATTGATGACTTTTAACTCCAGGCTTTGACCTTCTACCTCATTTTTGAATTCCCAAATCTAACTGCCTTCTTAAGATCTTCTCTTGAAATATCTAACAGTCATGTCCAACTTAATGTGACATACACAGAACTCTTGATTCCCAACCCAGTTCACCCAAACACACATGCACCTTCCACCACGAATCTCACCCCTCTGCAGACTCCGTAGGACAAAAATTTTGCATGCATTTTTGATTTTTGCCATCTCCTACATCTCACATTTAAACCATCACCACATCTTGTTGGCTCTGGTAACAAACCCTAGCATGCATCTCATATTTCCACCCACAGTCAATGAACGCAAGCCACAGCTTTCACCAGGACCACCATCCCCTGTCCTCTAGTCTGTCTTCCATACAGCAGCTCATCTTCTAAAAATGCCTTCCTTCCACTCAAATTCCATTAAAGCCTCCTGTGGTGGTTATGTTTGTGTGTCAACTTGGCTGGGCCTGGTTGAGTGGCTGGGCAGCTGGTGGTAGTATTCTCCATGATGAGACTGGCAATCAGCTCCATGGTGGGACCTACCACAAGCAGCTGAGTAGCTGCTTTTGGGATGTGGTCTGCTTCCCATATATAAGCAGCAGCTTTGGGAATGGTGTCCAGCCTATGGCACGCTTGGACCCTGCATGTGGCCGTGTTGTTGCTCAGCAGCCTGCTATGCTCTGCCAATCTTGGGACTTACGGATGGACTTAAGTTAATGGCCTGCCACGTGGATTGGTAAAACCGGGACTGTGACATTGTACTTGTCAACCTTGGGGCTTCTCAGCCTCAGCAGCCAGCAGCTGAGTGAAGAAACGCCTCTAGCTCCAGTGGGCTGGGAGCAAGAGGCAGAGCTGGACCCCAAGGTTGAGGGGCTTTCACCCAGCCCCTAGAGCCTGGCACTTTGAACTTGGACTTAAAGCCTCCAAATTTTAAGAATAAACTCCTGTTAAAACCAACCCATTTGTGGTATATTTCTTGTCAGAAAGGCACTAGGGAACCAGAACAGCTCCCGATTACCTTTCAAATAAAATGCAGAATGCTCACTAGGCCCCTACTCAAATGTCCATTCATGCACTTACGTTGCTCTATCATACTGGCCTCCTGTAAACACATTTTACTTGCACATGGTTCCTTCCCCAACTTCATTCCAGTTTCTGATCAAGAAAGACATCATCCATATGAAATAGACCCTGCCAATTCAGTCACTGTTTTCCCTTTCTGATTACTTTTTCATCAGCACTTTCATTACTTGAAATTATATACTCCTGGGCATTTCTCCCCCAATTAATACGTTAAGCTCCACGAGAGCATGTCTTCATCTATGCCAAACACTGCACCTATATAGTGTGTGGCACACTACAGCTACTCCATCAATTGGTTAAATTACAGAAAAAGGTATCTGAAGGGAGAGGGAGATTTAAGGGAGGTCTTCTCTGTTTAGTTAAAAACTTCTTTAAAGATTTCATTGAAGTATTAAAAAGCAAAGATGTTACTTTGAGGACTAAGGTGCACCTAAGCCAAGCCATGGTATTTTCAGTTGCCTCATATGCATGCGATGGCTGGACAGTGACTAAGAAATACCACAGATTTATGCCTTTGCATTATGGTTATTGGAAAAGAATATTAAATATATTATGGACTGACAAAAGAATAATCAAATCTGTCTTGGAAAAAGTACAGCCAGAATGCTCCTTGGAAGCAAAGATGGTGAAACTTTGTCTTAGGTACTTTGGGCATGTTATCAGGAGGGACCAATCTCTGGAGAGGGTATCATACTTGATAAAGTAGAGGGTCAGTGGAAAGAGGGAGACCTCCAATGAGATGGATTGATGCACTGGCTACAATGGGCTGAAACACAGCAAGGATGAGAGGATGGTGCAAGACCAGGAGGTGCCTCATTGTGTTGTATACGGGGTAGCTATGAGTTGGAACTGATTAGACAGCACCAAAAAAAAAAAAAAAAACTAGAGCATATTTTTACACTGATGGGAATAATCCTGTAGAGAGAACTTATGAGTGTAGTAGCAAAGGGATAATGCAGAAAGCAGAATATGTAGTTATAAATACAGGCATATTGGCAGATTTTGAGAAATGGAAAGAAATCAGATCTGAGATGGGATCTTCAGTTCTCCAAATGTAGCACTGTTCTTGGGATCCTTCCCTATACACAGGATGGCTGTGATTATGTTGAGAAGGCACCCCACCATACCCTTTCCATGAAACTGATCAAAATGCTGTTATACTGAGTTTCATGATACATCAAAGCTTCACAATAAAAACAGATCTCTGCACAGCTAAAACATTAAAGCCCCAGGGTTACATTTAAAACAAGTTTGCCATTTTTTAAAAAAAACAACTGTAAATTAAGAACGACATTTTCATTTGTGCCTCCTTCTCTTTCAGGAACTATATGAAAAACAACATTTGTTTTATGAGTCATCACCAAGAGGAATTAGTGCCAAGTCAGCTTCAAAAAAGCAAGCCCCAAGAGCAGCACTTAGAGTGTAAAAGACTGTGTGGTAAGGGACAACCCAAGCCGCTTTCTCCAGAGTTCTAATGGCCTCCAAAACTGATGAATGTCAGTGTGGTAGAACACTTCATACAGTGTCTTTGTGCCAATACAATTTTGTTATTCTGTGTTTTCTCTTCAGTGTCATACAGCTGAAATTACAGCAACTTTTAATTGCTCCCTGAAAAAAAATAACACCAAAAGGTAAAGCCAGCACAAGGTTACATAGTTTATTTTTTATTCTCAGCAAGATGTTGTATGCCTTGACTCCGACTCGTAGTGAACCTACAGGACAGAGCAGAACTGTCCCATAGAGGTTTCCAAGGCTGTATTCTTTATGGAAGCAGATTACAAGGTCTTTTCTCCCACAGAGTGGCTGGGGGGTTTGAACCTCCACTCTTTTAGTAGACCAGAGCTTTTTCCAAGCAGGATACCAGGTAAAGATACACTGGCTAGTTCAATGTTCTGTGTTCTTTTTTACAGAGCATCCTTTGAAAAACTATGTCCAAGTGACGAAATCAAGCTTTGCCTTAAGATATGCACAGAGGCCAGTCACAGCTTTATTACCAGACACCTAAGTGGTCTGAACATTTAACACTTTGTCTCCTAAGCTATGACTTGCACTGGGTTTTGGGGGAAAAAACTTAAAAAAAGAACCAGGACACAATGCGGACAATTTAATTGCACATATGTTCTAGATAAGAATAGGGTCCTGTCTAGGAATTTAGTGATAATTCATAGTTACAGTTAAGTACAAAGATGATACCGCTTATTTTAAGAATTATGAATATAATTTAATGCAAAATATCTTAGTTTATTAATCTTATTATAAAAATGTTCAAAACAATTCTGCAACCATTGATGACATAAGCATTTTTTTCCCATGTATCTCCTTATATGAATAGAAAGAACAATTTCAAAATCATGGGACCATATTCATTTAGAAGTAGCCATTAGGAAAACATTAGAAGTCAGGCTATTCGGTTATTTATCCAAAATTCTAATTAGGTTTATGTTAAGTCAAGTTTATAAAATTCTCTCCTTGCAAGGCTGTGATGATCACTTAATAGCTATCCATTTTCCTGCAATTATTAGAGTTCTCAGGAATATCACTACCTCAGGTTATGGCACACTGGTGATAACTGATGTTGACTTTCGGATGACTACAGATGTAATAAATGACATTCAGACATCAAGACAATTCCCTCACTACTGTTGTCTGGGATGAAACATAGAAGCCACGAACCATACCAGCAACTTAGGTTTCCAGCCTCACAACAATGAATTCCTCTCTTCTGTATTTCTCCAGTTGAACTGTACGACTTGGCGAGGCATTTTACCAATAGAACTTGGTTATGATGATGGGCAATCCACAATAAAGAGTCTTAAACTACTTAAGCGGTAACCCATTATATTACTAATATGATAAGCTTTGGAAGACACAGAAAAAAATCTAACGTACGAACAACCTAGCTTGAAAAAGACCTAAAAATAAAATTAATCTGAAGAAAAGAGAATCAATCCTACAAAGCCAAAAACCTGTAAAGGAGGAAGATCTTTATTTGGCTTAGATTTTTTTCTTATTGTCCCCTAACTGTTCCAGTTTGAAAGAAATATATGATCCACTACATTCCATTATAACAAAGTAGAAAGACTATCGATATATGTAAGCAATAGTGAAACTGTATTATCTGAGACTTAGAAAACTGACTCGTAAAAGATCGGGTTTTGAAATGTACTATCTTCATTAAAATGGCAGAGGATGTTATGAGCAAAGGAGGTTTGAGAGCTTAAACAGTTCTATCATGGTACATTTCATATGCAATTGAGGAGTATACATTGTCTTCTTCCTGTTTTTGCAGAAGGGAAACTGTCCTACAGAGGTGAATGAAAGACATTTACCATGAATCTTCAGTGGAATTATATGCTGAGATTTAAAAAAAAAAAAAATCAACACATGTAATCAATGTGAATTTTTTTTCTTTGCCTAGCTTCACAGATTGTAAGATATAAAACAAAATTATGTTTCTTTTGAAATTCAAGCATTATATATATTTAAGCTATTCCTTGGTTTAGCTATTCATTTATTAATGTAAATGGGCAGGAATTTGTTTGCAAACCTCATTGGTTTATTACTAGTGATTTCAACTTCAGTATCTTAAATGATCTCATATTTTTCTGAGTTTGTAACTAAACAATTTTGTCTTCAAACTAATGTTTTGATGCAATACCCTCCTAAATCAGAGCTTTTGATTAGCAAAAATAAAAAAGGGGAATGCTTATCATTTGCATGTATATATTCATATTTTTATTTATAAAAAACTTAACAGCGGTAGAAGACATCACCCTCACTCGTTCCCCCTTTTGTTAGATATAGGAGCTCTGGTAGCATAGTGCCTAAGGCACTTGACTGCTCACCAGAAGGCTGGCGGTTCAAGCCCACCAGCCACTCCTCGGAAGGAAGGTTGGGCAATCCTACTTCCATAGTGATACTGCCTCAGAAACCCAAGGAGGGGTCGCTATGAGTCGGGGCCGACTCGACGGCAAACAACAACAACAACAAGTGGGTTAGCCATGGGCACTCTGCCAAGTGACGCTTACTCACTAAGTCGCCCTAAACCTGACCAGACTATTTTTCCTCCCCTTCTCAGATAAAGAATTTTGATGAGATACTACCTAGTTTTCAAGTCACTCGAATACTGAAAATGTTAAGACATCTGGATGTAAGACATATATATGATATATTGTACATATATCCTTCAGATGTGTAATGCTTTGTTTTCCCTTCTCCTACTTCTTTTTCTATTTTTGTTTTTTGGTGAACATTGCAAAGCAAGAGTTTACTTATTACCGTTAATTAAAACTAAGTAGATAACAAAATTTTAAAACAGTCCAGAATCAGTAACTTTTCCATCTAATTTTATTCTCTGTATTTTATGAGGTTAGCTATCCTACTGGATTTTACAACAGCATAAATAAACACAATGGGGGAAAAAAAAAGAGAAAAATGCAAGTCTAAAAAATTACAAGTCTTTTAAATGAAAGAAAATATGAAAGTCAGCCTCTGACCCCCACTTTTGAGGGCGTGTGAGGCAGAGAGGGGGAAGGCATTGAAAAGAAGATAAAAAGTAAATGTAAAATAATATGTATGGTTGGGTATAATTCTGAAACTAAATTTTCAATGTTTTATAATAAGGTAAGGGAACTGCATTGAATATGGAGGTTAAAATGTAATTTTCCACAAAGGTTTCAAAACATTTCGCTAACTCAGGTTTCAGTGGAAGGGTGTGTTGGCATATAGTCTCTGTGAAGTTTCTACGGGGAGGCTGACTCGGCTCTCCACTCAACCTTACCTCCAGGTAAAACCACCGCTGGTTTTGCTGCGGTCGAGGCAGCTGCAGCTTGAGCGTGTATTACCACTCCAGGGCTTGTGGGGGAGCCAGAAGACGCTGTTCCACAAACGTATATTTATTATGACATTAAGAATAGCAATGCCACTTTTTATACTCTATGGAATAGTCACTCTTTAGTTCCATTAAATAAGACACAGCAAGGGGAAAGACATCTTGCAAAATGGCTTTCAAGTTCAAGTTGAACTATAGTATAATTATATGGTGGCACAGGGGCAGATTGTGGGCACTTCTTATTACAACAGCACAATGTTACCAACTCTGACAAGACTCTGAAAATAGCCTTGAGCACCAACCAAAGTTTAATGAGTCAAGAACCTCAGTCACTTCCCTGTAACTACAGTTGAGTCTTTCCAGATTAATCAAGGTACAACCCATCACAGTATCTCATATCCATCTTGTGGGTAGAAGGTTTTTCTTATTAAAAACTACAATTTTCTTAACTTGCAAAAGTTATTTAACATTTTCTATCATATTAAATTAGCAACATAAAACATGATGCTTTATCTATAAAGTTCTACTCTGGTTTCTATGCATGTTTGCATTTCTAATCTGCAAGAAACAAATTCCTATTTGATATTTGGTAACAGAGCATTAAAGAGATACTATATACATGTGGCACGCGCACACACGCACACACACACACACAACACGTTAAAAAGAAGCCAACACACTTTAGCAAAAGTCTAAGCTTGCATAGTTAAAAAAAAATTATGAATACAGTTTTTGTTAAAATAGAAAATGGGGAATAAAAGTTCTAGAGTGGATATGAAGAGAGATCTTTTCCAAACTTTTATTTGTGCACATTCAATTGAAAAAGATAACTTTGACAGGTTCTTTGGTGCCCATATTCTGCATACAAAAATGTAAAAGACTATTCACAAATAAAACACATTAGCTTGAACTAGGAAAAAAAAAATGACAACAATAAAACAGTTTAAGGTAGTGCACACTGTGACAGCTCTGCTTAAGAGGACATGAGAATTACTGCGAAAATAAATAGAATGTCCTTTTGTAAAAGCAGCAATGTCATGTCTTGTAAACTTCCTTTTTTATATTACAGCAAGGTCTGAAATAAAATCCAAAGGGCCTGGCGCTTACACTGCGGCTGTGAATGAACAGAAGAGTCTATTTCCTCAGGTGCGGTTGGTCCAGTTCTCCTTGAGTCCAATGTGCAGCAGGTTTTAAAAGGTGCTCAGTTAGGGATTCTAATGAATTAAGTGATGAATTACAAAATTTCTTTCCTGCTTTCAAACACAAATGGGTAAATCTGTTCCACAGCAGTAGCAACAGCCTTCACGTTGGGCCCTGCAGCAGACACAACAGAGGAAGGGATGAGGAGAGGAAAAGAGAGCACTCGGAAAAACCCATCTCGAGTGTCAAACACATTCAAGTAGCCTGGAAGAGCAGGTTATTGTTTTTTTTTAATCTACCCTTACATAATTATACACATAGTTCTAGTAAGAACAGAGAGAATAAATTTTTTTTCCCCGGACTTTAGAAAATCTAGAACACAAAATGATGTTATTCATGTCATTGTATTTTTAGGTCATCAGTCTGAAAATAGAGTACAGTGAAAGCTATGAAAGCTGGACCGTGTGTAAGGCAGAAGCCACGCAGACAAGGAAAACTCAAGTACTTGCCACTAAAACCAGGGACAGAAGAGTAGTAACACTGTATCTTGTCAAAGGCAGAAAACCTGCCAGACCGAGAAAAAATAGGCAGTCCTGTCTCGTCTCAGCTCTCCCAGGTTTAACTGTGTACAAGAAAATGCACACAAACTATAAAGGATAAAAACACTAACCTGTATAATATGCCTATAAAAAGAAGGAATGACAAAACGAGACTACACAACTCCTATCCTTTTGGTCACTACAGTCTGGCTAAGGGTGAAGACCACAGGCGTACCTGGGAACCTAGCAGAGTGAACAAAGCTGTTGCCATGGTGTTGGGAAACCAGAGGGGGTCTAAAAATGCCCAGACTATGACTGCCTGGTATCCATATGTTTAAAATTAATCTGGCCATCTGGCCCTCACAGCTTAGTATCAAGGAGTGAGGTAATGCTACATATGAATCAATCCACATAGCACTAGAAACAACTTTTTAAAAATGTAATTTTGCATTTAAATAGCTAAAAACAAACATTTTAAAAAAGGAACAATGAAAAAATTTCATAACATTTGAGTAAAAATGGTTTCATTAACACATACTTAGCTCTCATAAAAGATCTAGTCACTGAGCCTTTGCAAGGTGCTGACCATGACCATGCCTTCTCTCAGTCTGCCCTTGACCTACCTCGCCACCCCCCACCCCCCAGCATGGTCCTTTGCCCATGGGAACAACTCAGTATGTGCTCAGTGAAGTGTTTTCATAGGATATTACAAATGTAAACAAGTACATTATGTGTACTCATTAACCAGGTTAATTGCTTTCAGTTTGTTATTGTTTTACTTACTCTACGAAGTCAATAAAAGTAGGTTTTACATAGGCATCCCATTTTATTCTACACTTAGAAGGAACTATGGATAGACTTGAGGTTCTTCCAGAAATCTAGGCTCCAAAGTATAGAAAAAGACAGTTGAAAGAAGGGAGCAAACAGATTTGCCCCCACCCACCAGCCCATTTTTAAGATTCAGGTGGAATCTGCAGCAAAAGGCTTGAAAGACCCCCAAAGTAAATGTGAAAACCCAAAGAACAAGTTAAAACTAGAGCTTATTTTAGGGGTTTAATGGTGTCAGTTAATAGCTTTTATTCCCCTTTAGGGATTAAAAAAAGAAAAAAGTAGAAGTCAAGGACACTAAAATTACCCTCAACTCAGTTTTGACTATGGTTGGGCCTGACTGTGAAGCAATGCCACCACACAATTCACTGCCCCGCACGTGCTAGGGCTACCCTGGGACATCGATGCCTAGGCTTCTGAAACGACACCTTCCCAATACTAACAGACTCAAAAGACATAAAGAACATACACAACAAACAAGAATAATTATATTTCATTATTTTGTTTACGTAAAACCCCTGTGAAGTTCATAAAATAGGTTTCTCTTGTGTATTTTAAATATTTTGTTGTTGTTATTTACCATCGAGTTGGCCCCGACTCATAGCGACCCCTCCTTGGGTTTCCGAGGCAGTATAACTATGGAAGTAGGAATGCCCAAAAATAGAATATATCATAAATTTCAAAAATCATATTATGGAGATATTTATTAGAATATCCTTAATAGCTTCAAACTGGAAACTACCAAATGCCCACGGACAGTAAGTATATTCACATATTGGATACTATACGATGAGAATGAATGATTATCAACTTCTTGGAACCATTAAGTATGAATTTCACTAAGGTAATTATGAATGAAATAAGACAGACACAAAACAGTATCCATTAGATTTACAAATAGTACAAAAGCAGATAAAACAATCTAAACAGTGTTAAAAGGAGACTGGTTCCCGTTGAAGTGCAGAGGAAGTAATTGAAGAAGATAAGTTAGATATTATTTCTATTTTGGTACAAGCATCTCTTACTACATTCAATTCACAACTGACAAGTTTGGTTTCAACATCATGAAATACCTGTTACTGTGATACTTCCTGTTGAAAAAATCTGTAACGTAGCTCTTAGGGATTTTATTCGATAGCACACTGCAGGATGAAGTTCAGGTTCATAACTATGCCAAAAAACAAAAAGAAACCCTCACAATTAATATAACTATTTATAGGCAGAGGAGAAACTTCCAATATGTTAAATTATTTTGATTCTTCAAAGACACACCTGGCATGAGGTCTATTGTTCTTCGTGAATTCTGGCAAACGGATTTCAAATGGCATGTTACACACCGCCAACACATTAACAACTTTAAAATCTGTAAATATTACCTTTAGGACAGAAGTAAAATTCAGTGAATTATTTTGAAATAGAAAAATCTGCTCATCAGGGCAATCTTTAATAATTAAGTTTCAATCCTTAAGAAAATATGATAAAAACATATCTTCAGTTTAGTATTTTAAGTTCCCAATGACATCTTAATGACTTGAAAAAACAAAACAGCGCAAAAACTTAATTTGAAAAAACAAGCATTCAACCTAAGATATATGATGCACGATTAAAACAGTACTCTGGGGTCTACTGAATTGTTAGTTTAGTTTAGTATTTTAATACTTTAAATGGAATATTTAAAACAACTGGGATACACAAGAGACTAGAGGGGGAAATATTAAAGCAGAGTCATTCCTCTCAAATCAAAAAATGGAAAAGTTGTCACTTTCAAAGTCAATAAACAGAACGTACACTGAGCTCTAGAGGTTAGACATTTTCCTTATATATAATAAGGTAAAATGACATTTCTGTTTAGTCGTTTGTTTATTGGGGGTGGACAGAGTAAGGGATACAGTGACATTATTGTGTTTCTAATTAACTGGGATTTCTCTCAACACTTCAAATGTTATGCAAAAAAAGAAGACCCAAGGCTGAAAATAATGTCCTCTCAGTAATATCAGGTACTCCTATCAGTGTCTTAAATTGTCTAAACTCATTGTCTTTTCAAGCAACTCTAGTAAAACCACAATTTTGGATGAGCTAAGTTCCAATTCAGTTATTACACAATGCAGCTATAGAAAGTCAAAAACTGTGCAAAGCAGCCTCACTGTCAAATCACAGTTACACTTCATCAGGGCTCCCTGCGGTGCTCCTCTCCTCCAGGACCACCCTCCTCCTCCCCAGCAGCACTGCCATTCCTTCCTATTACCTTTCCCTTCAGAAAAGACTGTGCTCATCAGGCAGAAACGCTCTACTTTCCATCACTATTTCCACAAACTTATCCAAATTCAAAACAGCACTGGTCCATGTCTTCAGGGGCCATATCTCATCTTTAATTTATTCATCATTTGCAAGTGACTTAGGAAGTCCGTAAATATGCAATGATTTTATTCAAATGTAAGTCCCTACAAATTCCTACTCCATGAGGCTAACATGGCAGCAAGAGGCCATTTTACAGGTGTGAGAGCCTGCCACCAAGTATGGACACATCAACAGAGTTCTGTAGCTCTCTACTCATCATCTTGACATTTCATTCTTGAGATGAGCAAAAACATGGCTTCATTCATGTGAGAAATGAAAACCACCGAAGAGTGGAATAGATATTTAACTTGCAAAGAAACAAGTTTATCTAGGAGAAAGGGATTTTGTGAAAAGGTCAGCCCTTTATAAATACACATATAGGCAAATTTTGGGACTAGAAAAGTACTGCTCATACTGAAGGACAAGTTAACAATTTACATTTTATAAAAGTACATCCTTAAATATCTGCAGTTTAGATATTTTTTGAAAGTGTTACCTGAAAACCTAGTTTCTGCAGACTGCGGGCTAAACGTCTGGCACCAAATTTAGCTTCTTCTTCACTATGTATTTAAGGGAAAGAAAAAGATTATCAGTTACACAAAAATTAAATTTTATACTGAGGAACATGATAAACTTAGTCATGTGATTTTGATGTTAAGTCTAAGAAAAATGCCCTTTTCATGAGGGGAAAATTAAATTAAAAATACAAGTAATATTTACCTTGTTGCTCCAGTGCAAATAATTTTTCCTGAGGACCAAATTGTAGCTGTAATTCTAGGTTTTCTAAGCTTCATTAATACTTTCTGCAAAAAAAAAAAAAAAGAAAAAAGTAAAGAAAAATCACAGAACATAAACATTGATTTTCATGTATTATGTGGCCATTTTAATGTCAAAATATTCCAAGCTTATCCAAGATTGAAGTAACTGATCTTCAAATCACCTATCCTGAAATCAACTATAATACATAAAACAAAAATGTCCCAAAAGGACATTTAATTATTTAAAAATAAAAGGTCTATGCAAATCTATTTTCAATTGCCTCATATGAATGAGAAAGCTGGACAATGAATAAGGAAAATCAAACAAGATTCAATGCCTCTGAATTATGGTGTTAGCAAAGAATACTGAATGTACCACTGACTGCCAGAAGAACAAACAAACCTGTCTTGCAAGAAGTGCAGCCAGAATGCTCCTTAGAAGTGAGGATGGCAAGACTTTGTCTCACGTACTTCAGATACATTATCAAGAGGAACTAGTCATGTCTGGCAAAGCAGAGGGTCAGCAAGAAAGAGGAAGACCCTCAATGAGTTGGACTGACACGGTGGCTGCAGCAACAGGCTCAAACATAGGAATGACTGTGAGGTGGTGCAAGACTGTGCAGTGTTTCATTCTGTTGTACTCACTGAGTCAGAAATGACTCTATAGCACACCTAACAACAAACATGCAAATCTTTCACTATATACTTGAAATCAATGTACTACATGCCCACAAACATGCCAACTCTCCTTCCACTCCAATCAATTGACTAGAATTGACATGGGTCCACAAACAGGCCAAACCTGTTCACAACTCAACTTTCCAGGAGCTGTTATCTCCCCCTGGAACCTTCTTCCCTCAACAGTGTTACTTCATTTAGGTCTCTTACCTGCCCTGCTCATTCCATCCAAAACAGCTGCCCCTTCATTGCTCTGTAACTGCTTACCCTTCTTTATTCTATTTCATGGGACCCATCCCCACTTTACAGTGTAGCTTACAGCCGAGATGCCTACTGCCTACTTAAGTTCAATACACAAACTTTAAGCACAGGACACCTTAGAGCAGGTGATGTAATTTAAGAGTCCTTAAAAATGAAAGGCATTTTTAAGGATGCAGTTTGAATGAGCTCTGGTGGCATAGTGCCTAAGGCATTTGACTGCTAACCAGAAGGCTGGTGGTTCAAACCCGCAAGCCACTCACAAGCCACTCCTTGGGAGGAAGGTTGGGCAATCTGCTTCCATAGTGATACAGCCTCGGAAACCCAAGGAGGGGTCGCTATGAGTCGGATCCGACTGGATGGCAGTGTGTTGCACTGAGTATAAACAGGTCAAGAACTGAACTCCAAGTTAATGTGTGAATTTAAATTTTCACAATTTTTCATTTATGGAAAGATTTCTCGTCTGTCCATTTTGTGTTGAGAGAGAGCAATAAATGAGCACTGAGTAAATGGAATTAGTTCATAAATGAATCAGACATTTCTTCTTACAATGACTGTTATACTTTGAGTTCCTTCCTCTCTGTCATATACCATATTAGCTAACTCATATTACCTAAAAGCAATTACCTCTGGGGAAACTCAAATTTACCAAAGCTCAAAATGAAGTATGAACTAAAAGATATATAAAAGTGCATACACAAGTAACTGATAAAGAATGAATGGAGTTTATTCTGCATTTAATTGTGTTGCACCACCAGCTTGTCCATCCACTCAGATTTTTCATTTTACATTCCTGGGGTGGGGAAAGAGGAGGAAACGACTCCTTTTCCATATGGCAAACTAAAGTATCAAAGCAGCGATGGGCATTTTTCTCTCTAAACTTGTTAGCCAGACATACGGATTCCTTTGTTTAAGTGAAGATGGCATTATTGATGAACTTGAAAATCTTTAATTAGGATTCACTGAAAACTTTTGTTGAATTTAATTATGCTTTACTTGGTTTCAAGAACTAAGAGATAGTGTCAATCTACCTATGTATACTGGCAATAATTTTTTACAGCTTAATTAAAACTTTCCCATACATTCTTATTTAAATGTTGTAATAAATGTGTAAGATATACATGTCATCACTAATTTATAAAAGCCAAATAAATAATCATTGTCACTTATAATGTTAACCTCCAAACAGTAAGGTCAAAAACAAAGTATCACTTTTCATTTTTAAAAACATAGGTTTATGAAAACTGAAAATCTAAATGTTCAGGTTGAGATATGAACCATATATTTTCAGCAATGTATTACTAAAGAAAACCAACTATCTTGGCTTAACTAACTAACGAGGAGTACAAAAATTAATATACTATGAAAATTACAATATCTACTAGGACATCATTGAAGTATGTGAAGTATATGTGAGTAAGTATAAATCAAAGTATAAATATTCCTTTATACAGTTAAAAACTGGAGAACAACAAAATATCTATGTAACCAAGGAGTTTTTTGATTAAGACTCAGGGCTAGGCGTCATCCATAAGAGGAGGGGCCTTTTACAGGACCCAGTGCTGCGTCCAGTACTAAGCATGTGGTAAGGGGCCCAAAATATTTGTAGACCGAATACATTTTATACTAGCATTCATGGCACTATAAAATTAGGCCAAGTAGCACATGCACAAAAATTCAGATACTTACTCCAACATCACGCTTATAAATTACATTTGCTCCCTCCAAAGCAATCTTCCTTAAGTTCAAATGGCATCTTGTTCTAAAAACACAGACTACATTTGTAATTAAAATGTCCAATGCAACATCACTGTCTGCATCCATTGGGGTAGTTTAAAAACTTAGCTTCCCACCACGAAGATCACATCCTGAGAAATGAAACAAAATAAAGTAATTAAACTTCAATGTTCTCTTAGTTTATTTTTCACAAATAATCTTGAAAATTAAAATGCAAGAAATGAATCTATATTATTTATTTTTCATTTGCTACTCAAATCAAATCATGCCCCTTTTCCTCCCCACTAAAAACATCATAGTTTTGAAAACAGCATACCATGTAACGTCCTTCAAAATGTGGGCCTATTCTTTAAAATAAGCAGCTTTACATGCCAGGCACCTTCCAGACTCATCTCCTGTGACTTGGTGTTTACAGCCACTATGTTCCAGGCATACCCCAGTATGGCGACTCCCAAACAGATTTTCAAGGGCTGGACCGCTGCTTTAATTATCCTTGTGGTCCCAATATCCAACTATTAATGGTATTATAGTCTACTTCATACAACTTGTGAGGGCTATGAAAAGTATGATCTTTTTTTTTTTTCTTTCTTTTTTCTATTTAAGACAGAGAACTCAACTTTAAAGAAGAAATACTGATTTTGGCCTATAATTAACAGATAAACTTACTTACAATTCATTTATTATTTAATCACGCAACACCTATGCACTGAAATACGGGAGAGAAAAAGAGGAGTAAGGCAAAGTCCTCTGACCCCAAGGAGCTAACAAACCAGTGAGTAGTGGAAGAGTTAGTACAATAATATTTTTATCAAGATCAGAATCTTCCAATACACATACTGTAAGAACAACTCCTATGATAAAAGTATTATTATAAATAAACAACAAAAGAAATCCCTACTTTTTACTTTGCACATCAATCATATCCAGCTAAAATATTCCTCTCTTTTGACTGGATTGCCACATCTGTGATGGTTAATGTTTTATGTCAACCTGGCTAGACTATGATACTCAGTGGTTTGACAGACATTGGATTGATTGCTCTTCCATAATGTAAACACATCCATTTTGTGACTGATGTCAGCAGTCAATCAGTTGAAAAGCTAATCAGTTGAAAACCAATCAGTTGAAAACCAATCAGTTTCCTTGGGGTGTGGCTTGCATCGAATATATACAGATGTTCCAGCAAAGTTTGCTCTCTCTCAATCCTGCATCTGACCTCATCATCCTCTGACCTCTTGACACATGACCCAGCAGCCTTCCTTCTGATCTGTCAATTTGGAATATGTTAGTCCCCACAAGCACAACTGTGTGAGCCATTTTCTTGAAATAAATATCTCTCTGCATATATATGAGGAGCTCCGGTGACACAGTGGTTAAAGCATTCAGCTGCCAACCAAGAGGTCAGCAGTTTGAACTGACCAACTGCTCTGTGGGAGAAAGATGAAGCAATGTGCTTCAGTAAAGATTTACAGCTTTGGAAACCCTATAAGGTATAATCAGAAGTGACTTGATGGGAGTGGGTTAGTTTGGTTGGGTTTTACTATTACCATCGAGTGGTATGAGGACTTTATAACAGAGCTCTACTCTGTTACAAAGGGCCACTATGAGTTAGAATCGACTCAGTGGCAGTGGGTTGGGTTTGGTTTATATATATATACATTTATATATATACATACTTCACTGGTTTTGCTCCTCTAAAGAATCTAGCTTAAGACAACATCTTGAAAACTAAGTAATAGTAATTCAGCTAACCTGATCCACAAAAATAAAACCAGGAAATAGTAACAATACTACCCTAACTATCTTTTAAGGTTCCTTGCAGCCACATACACTATATAGTAGTATTCTTTATAAAGATTCAAATTATATGACTAAAACAATGAAGATATCAAGAGTCCAAATAAAGAAAATGTGTTCATGTTTCAGCGGCTCTTACTTTCTGACAAAACATGATGACAAGTCAGACTAAGGCTTCTAACTCCTCTACTAGGACCACACCATACACTGTATCAACTGTACCCCAAGTTCATTCTATTTTCTCACTCTGACATTCCTATATTCCCTTTCTATCTTTTTGTTTTTCTGTTCTGTGTAACTCAAGCTTTGAACCTTGAGTTACCGCAGATCATTTTACTGTACAAGGGGTGGTAAGGAAGGATGGCAGTGAGGCCTTATGGACAGATTCATAAGCAGGGGCACAGATGTAGTTATCAATACTGACCTTTAGGCTCAAGGTCCAACTCACCACTTACTAGAACTTGCACAAGTTACGTAATACATCTGCATCTCAGTTTTCTTATCTGTAATATGAAATACATAGTAGCTACTATTATCACAGAAGGAGGTCTTGTGGCACAATGCCTAAGGCATTTGACTGCAAACCAGAAAGCTGTCTGTTCAAACCCACCAGCTGCTCTGTGGAAGGAAGATGGGGCAATCTACTTCATAAACATTTACCACCTTGGAAATCCAGTGGGGTTGCTATGAATCAGAAGTGACTTACAGGAGTAGGTTAGTTTGGTTGGTAGAGTGATAGGATGAGGACTTTCTAAAATAATGTAGGAAAAATACTTAGCATGTATGTCTGGGACATAATAATGCAATAAATGACAGTGATTATCAATAAAGTAAGTTTAAACCAAAAGGCAGAGCAGAGATTTCATAATACCACTTCCCATGATTGTACCCCAGATATCAAGCCTTCTGGACACAATCAAGTTTTCTGCTATTTTTGTATAAAAACTGTGAAATCATCATGAGGCAGAGGCTCTTAGTTGCCTACCCTAATATCCATCCCATCCTTCCTTCATAATGAACAGAACCCAGATGTATAGCTGGGTACACTGTGGCAGAAATAAAATACTACAGCGTCCAACTTCCCTGGCAACAGAAGTAGCCAGGAGCCACATGACTATATTCTGGTGAGACATATGGAAAACAAAATGGCCATGTGTCTTAGGTGAGATCTGCTCAGAGGGACTGAACTAAGCTGACAAGGGCCCTTTCTGCTTCTCTGTCCTTCATTTTTTTCTGTCTGGAGTTTGGACATGAAAGCTGGAGCTCAAGTAGCCATTTCTGATCATCAGACAATGAGATATGGATGGTAGAACAGTCAGACAGAAGCTGCCTAGACCCCTGATATCATCATCAATCACCTTATGCCTCCTGTACTTCTTAACTCCAGATGTCAAAAATGTGAAAGAAAAACCAATTTCTATCTTGTTTAACTCTTTCAAGACTATTTCTTGCTTTGAATTTTTTGTTGAAACCATGTGTTATCAGTAATGGAAAGCATTTTGAATAAAATGGAAAAACACTTTTTTGAAGTAATATGGATTTTGATACAATTAGAGACATTTCCCAAGGGGTTTCTGGTGTCCGGATTGGTGAGAGTAGACCCATTTCTTCAGATTCATGCGATTACACAGGCCCCCACCAGGTGGCGGCATGCAATAAAAGTGGAACAGAATCTCCCCACTAAACCCCAAAGGTGGACAATGTAGGTGGGCACTATATGTCCCACAAGTCACAAAAGCGTTAAGCACCCTTTATGCTGGATTTCTGTTATGTGCAGCCAGACCTAATCCTGACACATATTCCTTAAGCATAAATTACAAAAAGTAGTAAGGAGAAACTGTAAAGAAACTAAGCTAAATTTACCATTTCATAACAGTTTTCCCACTGAACAGGCTAAAACAAACTCATTCAGATTGACTACTTTGTCTTGCTAAAGACAAATTCTTCCAAGGAGAGAATACAAGGACAATATATAGGGTAAAAACAAGTCAAGAAAGAAAGGGTAAACCAAATATTTATGAATGCAAAGAACCCTTGAAGTTAATTCAAGTTGACAATTGTCTCTATACCTCAGCACTTAAATTTTAAACATGAAGTCATGGGAATGGTTCATTACAAGTTACTAATTGTTCGTATTTCAGATCAGTAACCTGGCAAGTAGCCCCAGAAAATATTATTGTCTTACTAGTTTTTCAATCAAGGCTACAATATGAAAAAGTCAGTAATTATTTCAAAAAGGACACCCTACATGAAAGGCTCCGCATTTTTATAGTAGTATAAAAAGAGGCTCATTGCAAACCAGTTTATCTATTTTGTAAAACAAGATAGTAGTACTGGATATAAACAAAGAGTCTCAAAGTTATCATATCCCTTTTAAATACAACTAGAATGGCAATCGAGTGAAACAGACAGATTGACTTCTACAAAGCATCTAAAGGCCGGTATCTCCTTGAGTGTGAAATGTGGCTAAGTAACTTTATCAATGAGCAAGAAAGGTCTGTCTGCGTAACTTTTATTCTCAATGTTAAAGTAGAGCTGATTGACCCTAAAAAGTGGAACTGAAGGTTTACTCTATCACTGAAAATACACGCACAATTTTGGTAAGGAAAAAAAAAATGCTATAATAAAGATGGTGGAAACTAATTTCCAGTAAGGATGAAATATTCCAAATTGTTTACCTCTATTATGGTACCTACCGTTAAACATTGGACTATTTCCCTTACTAAATTCTGGGTTTCCTGAGATCAAAAACTGTCTTGAAAGTTTACATACACCTGTGGGCTAGCAAAGGAGCCCTAATAGCATAGTGACTAAAGCATCTGACTGCTAACCAGAAGACTGGTGGTTCAAACCCACCAGGCACTCCTCGGAAGGACGATTGGGCAATCTATTTCCACAGAGATACACTGCCTCAGAAACCCAAGGAGGGGTTGCTATGATTCGAATAGACTCAATGGCAGTCAGTGAGTGAGTGGGTGATGGCCTAGCAATGGAGCCCTGTTGGCACAGTGGTTAACTGCTCAGCTGCTAACCAGAAGGCTGGGGTTTGGGGGTTTGCACCTACGAGCTGCTCCTCAGGAGAAAGATGTGGCAGTTTGCTCCCGCAAAGTTTTACAGCTTTGGAAACCCTGTGGGGCAGTTCTACTCTGTCCTATAGGGTCATGGTCACTATGAGTCAGAATAGATACAACAGCAGTGTTTTACTATTTATTTATTTAAAATGGCCTAGCATGAAATCTGGCAGATAACTGGTCCTTAATTATTATTTGGTAAATGAATGCTATTAAATCCAATATTTCGACCTCTGGTCTGTATTAAACTTCTCATCTACTCA